TTATCTAAATCGACATTCCATTCTCGTTATTTCCCACATTGACTCTCTACGCTAGCTTAAGACTTACGTGCTGATTATTGTTTTACTGGCAATACCCTCGTATACAGTCAAATCTGTTTTTGTGCGGGTAGATAGGAACCGCAGAAAAAAATCACACCAAAAAATCGCATAAAAAAGACGGACAAAAACAAGTTTGACTGTAATATGGTAGTTACACAATGCGATTTATAAATTGTAGCAATACTTGCATAACACGAATAGCAGTTTCCCAATAATACACCGCTCTAAGCATATAAATTCGTGCTAACAAAAATACGAAGTTGCAATTTCATGTTCGTAGCATATTTATTGCATTATGTTAATTTTATATCGATCCAACATCATTTCTCCTATGTTAACCATCAATTATTTCACAAACTATATTTTCATCCACTAGATAAAGTCTTTTATTAAATAAATTTTTGGTTTTGCGTAAGCCGTTGCTCCAAAACTATTCCTGCAACTTTTATAATGTACAATGTGTTTCGTTTAACATGGGTATTTTAATGCAAAATTTTCGCAGACATAAAAGAGAATTCAATGTCATGCAACATCGTGACCTTGAAATCATCTTAAATGACCATGTTAAACGAAACACTGTATATACTTTTAATTAAAGTACGGCTTTAGAAGAGAGGAATCCATTAACGTATCAACTGTCAAATCAGAAGCTCTGAAACTCTTACAACTACAAAATAATCCTAGTCGATGATGCTGAAATTAGTAAGTTAACATTGATTTAAATGATTACTACTTTGTTCCTTTTGCTTGTCATGCGAATCTTTATGCATTGATGCATGTTACGAGTTACGTATTTTTTTAAAAGGATCATTTTATTTTAATTTTTGTAAAATGACACATGAAATTGGGAATTTCGATAAAGATCTGCAGTCTACCTACAATGACACACACTTTTTAAAAAGCAACAACTTTTTTAAAAATGGATCAAATGATTTGATTCTTTTCTAAATATTAGACTGTCTAGTTTACTAGACAGTGAGCAAAAAAATATTCGAATTATTAAATATATTTTTTTCCTCAACTTTAAGGACTGTTTTCATCTTGTCAACATGGACACGATAGTCTATAAAGAAATACGTATCACATACATTTTTGAGAACTAGTTCTCCAACATATACTGTATCTAATGGTGAATCAAATTTGAATTTTGTATATATTTTTAGAAGAAACACATAAAACTCATAATTATTAATCTAAGGCCATTGTCTTTCAGTCGAAAACGTTTAACGATATTTGGAAAATAACGAAATACAATTTTACAGTAAATTCTTGCGAATTAACGCTGATATTGTGCACAAAAATGGACAATTTGGGAAGCGGAGATACGATTATTCAAGCTTTGCGACTCGTTTTTATAGTTACCGATTAGTTATCGCCAACTATAAAAACGAGCCGCGAGGTTCGAATAATCGTATCTCCTCTTCCAAAATCGTCCAATTTTGTGCACAATCTGAGCATTAATTAGGGAGAATTTATTGTATTTGGAAATGGCATGGAATCATTCATATTTGATTCCAAATTTTGCATACACCATTTTATTACCAAGTGTTATATTTAACACCATGCAATTTAACACCTTGCACTATGATTAGCACTTCTTCCTCCTTAATCATTTTCCTAATAGAAAGAGATAATTTTTGTTCCTTGTATCACGCAAATCAAATTTTGTTTGATTCAGGAGAAACGCATAACATTCATATTTCGTAGATTATGTATGAAATTTTTCTGATGAGTCTGACTCGTCGATATAGTGCAGAGGGATAAAAAGCTAAGTTCAGGAAAAATTGTAAGTTCAAGAAAGCGGAAAGAAAGGATCAAGGGTGTTACAATACATCACATTATGTGAAAAATTTACTTGAAATTTCTCCCATGGTACATGTTATCGAAACAATTATTGATGTGTAAGTAGATACCGCTATACTCAATTGTGACGTTGAGTACGATCGCGATCCAACAACCGTCATGCATATCAGTTGATCTCAAGTGTGTTTTACTATTTCTACAATGCATTAAGCTGTCGAGCAAAGAATTTGTCCAAAATTTCTTCAGGCGATTTTTAATGATTCTGCGTTCATGAAACGCATCATAACTGGAGATGAAGCATAGGTTTATGAGTGCAACATGCAAATAAGTCATTCACCTTCGCAATATCGCTACAAAAACGACCGGATCAGGGCCATGTTCGCGGTTTTCTTCGATTATCGTGATGTTGATTTGAAATTCCTTCCGGACGGAGAAACGGTCAATAAACAATATCATTAGAGNTACCTACAATGACACACACTTTTTAAAAAGCAACAACTTTTTTAAAAATGGATCAAATGATTTGATTCTTTTCTAAATATTAGACTGTCTAGTTTACTAGACAGTGAGCAAAAAAATATTCGAATTATTAAATATATTTTTTTCCTCAACTTTAAGGACTGTTTTCATCTTGTCAACATGGACACGATAGTCTATAAAGAAATACGTATCACATACATTTTTGAGAACTAGTTCTCCAACATATACTGTATCTAATGGTGAATCAAATTTGAATTTTGTATATATTTTTAGAAGAAACACATAAAACTCATAATTATTAATCTAAGGCCATTGTCTTTCAGTCGAAAACGTTTAACGATATTTGGAAAATAACGAAATACAATTTTACAGTAAATTCTTGCGAATTAACGCTGATATTGTGCACAAAAATGGACAATTTGGGAAGCGGAGATACGATTATTCAAGCTTTGCGACTCGTTTTTATAGTTACCGATTAGTTATCGCCAACTATAAAAACGAGCCGCGAGGTTCGAATAATCGTATCTCCTCTTCCAAAATCGTCCAATTTTGTGCACAATCTGAGCATTAATTAGGGAGAATTTATTGTATTTGGAAATGGCATGGAATCATTCATATTTGATTCCAAATTTTGCATACACCATTTTATTACCAAGTGTTATATTTAACACCATGCAATTTAACACCTTGCACTATGATTAGCACTTCTTCCTCCTTAATCATTTTCCTAATAGAAAGAGATAATTTTTGTTCCTTGTATCACGCAAATCAAATTTTGTTTGATTCAGGAGAAACGCATAACATTCATATTTCGTAGATTATGTATGAAATTTTTCTGATGAGTCTGACTCGTCGATATAGTGCAGAGGGATAAAAAGCTAAGTTCAGGAAAAATTGTAAGTTCAAGAAAGCGGAAAGAAAGGATCAAGGGTGTTACAATACATCACATTATGTGAAAAATTTACTTGAAATTTCTCCCATGGTACATGTTATCGAAACAATTATTGATGTGTAAGTAGATACCGCTATACTCAATTGTGACGTTGAGTACGATCGCGATCCAACAACCGTCATGCATATCAGTTGATCTCAAGTGTGTTTTACTATTTCTACAATGCATTAAGCTGTCGAGCAAAGAATTTGTCCAAAATTTCTTCAGGCGATTTTTAATGATTCTGCGTTCATGAAACGCATCATAACTGGAGATGAAGCATAGGTTTATGAGTGCAACATGCAAATAAGTCATTCACCTTCGCAATATCGCTACAAAAACGACCGGATCAGGGCCATGTTCGCGGTTTTCTTCGATTATCGTGATGTTGATTTGAAATTCCTTCCGGACGGAGAAACGGTCAATAAACAATATCATTAGAGCGTCATGAGGCGCATTCTTGTAAAAATATTCGCCGGAAATAACCAGATTTGTGCAAATACAATTCTTAGTTTTTGTATCACGATAAAGTATTAGTCTAAGCAAGCACGAATATGCGAGTCAAAATGTTCAAATCACTATAATCGAGTAAAAAACATAAAACGTAGTTGAAAAACTGGAAAACGCTTAAAAATCACTCTTTTTGAATGGGACAAAAATTCGCTAGATATATCCTTATATGACTTCTCCTATTTCGTAAACTCAAATTACCACTAAGGCGTTTTGAACGATTCTGAAAGCAACTGCTTCAAACAGTTATGTACTGGTTCAAAATTGAAACAGTTATGAGTTCTGTAACAGTCATTTTTCTCTTCTGTTTCAATTATGGTTCGGTTCTGTGTGCATCCTATATCGATTTCATTATGGTTTTTAGATCTTGTTGAATTTGCAAAAGCATTAATATATATAAAACGTTTTAAGTAAGGTATTAAATGCAGTTAAAGTTTGACAACAACAGCAAATACCTTAATTTTTATTACAGCGAAGCTATTCTATTATACAGGGTAGGCTGAAATTCGTAGTACAACTGAACAATAGGTGATTCTACGTAGAAAAATAAGACAAAAATTTGTTATATTATTTTTTATCCGGGGCTCCGTTTTCGAAAAAAATCGACGACGTTTGCTCATCTTTGTAAAGGATTTAGTTGCCGTCTATTCTTCTACTGCAGTTGCCTTCGTCCCCTGCTCGGGTGTATTACGAATTCCAGTCCACTCTATGTAAAACCAGGGCAGAACGAGAAGCAGAACTGAAAAATAACTGTTATAGGACCGATGTAATATCGATTCTGAAGACATATTTTCGGTTCTCATAACTGTTTAAAAAGCCGAAAGCGATATCATAATTGTTTTCAACCCTTGATTTCGTGTCGATTGAAGCCATAAATGAGAATTCGCAGAAAAAATAGAAGGCTACACACCTTCTTCAGCAGTTAAAAAATGTTTTGAAGAATGAGAGAAGCATTGGCATATGCGTATTGTCACTTTTGGGATCTATTTTGAAAGTGACAAAATAAACAGTGATGAATACGTAAGTAGTTTGTGTTTTATTTCCAAATTCCGGGTACTTTTTTTACATAACATAAGTATACGAGGAATTCGTAAACGACGGAGCAAGTCTCGTAATAGACAGGACTATTAGTTAATGTTAACACCCCGCACGTCTATACGTGTACACGATCAGTGCGACCACCCACAGTGTCTGCGTAGTCAGCCTGCTCCATGGCGATGTCGACTGCGCCACTCTGGTTTCCACTCCCGTAAAAGAAGGAACGCTCGACGTCCCCTTCGTTCATTCACAACCACCTGCTCGCCGAGTAAGCATCGACCCTCTGGTTCACCTGGCTGTCGACCCCTTCACCGACCAACGAGAGACGAACAGGGATGAGGAGCAACAGGACTTCCGGTATCCCCATGACTGCTTCCGTTTGCGCGCTAATACTTCTACTCTTTGCCAGTGGCACAGCCCACGCTAAACGTAAGTAATTGTCTTTTGATTTCGCTCACGACTCCTTAGAACAATTGATTGTTTACTATCCTTGATACAAATATTCGATCAAACCTAATACACGTAATATATACTTTCATATACAAGTATACATACACTAAGATTTCTTTCACAGCTACGTTGACTAACACTTCTTCGTCGACGATACATTTTCAAAAGCGAAAGAAAATTAGTATTTATATCGTATACCAACATCAGTTTTTAATAGCTAAATGGAAAAAATTTAATTTTATTACCATTCGAAACCAGTGAATAACGTCCACATGTAATGGACACGTTGTTATTGTGTAACGAGTTAGGATACTCTGCAATACTAACCAGCCGACAGACTTTTTTATGGTGGAAGTTTTTCGAGGGAGTTAAATAGAAATTTCTTTCTTTAGTAGAATTTTTATATATGTGTGTGTGTGTTGACATTGTAGGAGGGTAACACGATTCTTTATGCAGCTTTAGAAAGTCATTTTTCTTGTGATACTGTTGTGTAAATTGAATTTCATTTAGACTTATGACTTGAAAGGCTTAAAGGAGTGATCATTTTGATAAACTGAGTTTTGGAATGATCGATTAAAATAATTTACTCTTGTGTATTTTTGTGAGGTGGTAGTTTGACAGTTAATATATAGTTCTTTCAATTTTTGTTTACCGTTTAAGATTTAATTTACTTATTTATGTTGTAAGTGCATAAAATATGCAATCTTATTGTGGGTATCAGTAAAGAAACTTGACATATATAAAGAATATATTAATATAAAAATAATTATGCTTATTTTCTATGAGATGCAGAACAAGAAAACTTGACTCTGACTTAAGAAAAGTTTTTCATCGTCTTCGAAAATTGAGGCAATCTAACTCGCATTATTAGAGTATTAGGTAACAGTGAACAGTGCATTCTTCCATATTTTGTAACAGGATAAGGACATTCATCGTTTGTTAATATTTCTTTGAAATACTGATGATTTTCTTACCGCAAAGTGTATAACGTGTATGCAATAATAATTTTTTGTTTAATATTCATTTTAATAACATTTTGAATAAACATATTCATGATTTTGATAAAATATTTTTATATTCAACACATAAATTGAACGCTTTTAAATATTTATTTAGTGGGAGAAAATCGTCTATTCAAAGATCAATATTATGGAATCCTAAAAGTGACGGATTACTGACAGATTAAAAAGTGACAAAATGCTGAAAATGCCTGTATTTTAAATTGTCAATCATCTATAGGACTTACAAATTCGTGAAACAAAAAAACATTTCCATTATTGAATATTATTGACGCTTCTTCGTTGATTTAACATTAGGAATTTGTAACTTGTAAAAATGAATATTTTCTTTATCCTGATTTTTATTAAATGATTTATGTGATATTAAATTTCTCACTGTAACTTCGTGCAATTTTCTTTGTGGATACAAAAAGAAAATTTAATAATTTACAGGTGTAATAGTTAGAAAAAACGGGGATGGTGAAAATTGAACAATTCCAATGATGATTTGATTATTGAGATTTAGAAAAGTTGAATCTTTTTATTATTTCTTTGAACTAATAGAATTCGATGCTCATTTTGATTGTGTTTTGCAACGTAAAAATATGAACGAATGTACCTCTTAAAAATTTCTTGTAACTCTATCGTTACGAAGAAGAAGGAAACAAGACAATTTCTTCAATCAATCACGATTTGTATGTTTCCGTATTTAAAATGCCCCACTGAGAAAGGGGCACTCACAAGGCTAAAGCGACGTATTTGCACTGCGGTGTCTGTTTTTTTTTGCAAACGCATTTTTTCAACGCATTGGATGCATTTGACAGCATTTGGACTTGTCATACGGACTATTTGTATCTTCGCGTATTCATGGCATATACAGGCTGTCTGTAAATTGGAGGTGCCATATGATAAAGAACTACATATTAAGATAAAACAGCAACTAAAAAATATAAAATACAATCTTTCGCAATTATCCTCGTATTTCATGATATATGAATAGATTGCGGATTTTATACATTTATGACAAAAAGATCGAAAGAATTTATCGATGTACCACTTGCAACTTTTCGAAATTATTAAAGACAAAAAGAAGTTTTTAATTGTTCTTGTTTCCTGTAATTGATGCAGAAATTTTTTATCTTGTACAAAAATTCTGCAATCTACCATTGCAAATTCATGTGCAGCAACCAACAAATTTTCCATGTGATATTTACAATTTTTTGTCACGTCTATATCCCAATAAAAACTAACGAAAATATAATTTCATTTAATCACTGTTTTTTTTTTGTAAACCACGTTGCAACGAATACAAAATCCTCTTCGAAATGAGTGAAATTTTTTTAAGAATGTTGCAGCGTTATTATTATAATCGAAAAAAGCTAATTGCATTGCGTTATTACAAGTTGCGTTATTGCTTTATACATTTCTCTTAAATATGCATATTTAAAGAACATATTCGCATTGCCAAGTTTCGATTAATTTTCCACAATTGAACTTTACACATTTTTTATTTACGACCTAATAATTTGTGATTTTCGAAATTGTATGTTCCCGACGATTTTGTGGTGGAGTTCAAATATTACAAATGAAAAAAGTTAATTGATTGATTGCGTTTTACGTGCATGCATATTGTACAACTTTTTTTCGGCGAGCTTATTGCAACGGTTACATCAAAGAAATATGCACGGTCGTGATAGGAAATGCAAATATTTCAATGGCAGAAAACGTGACAATTACATCGTGAAAATATGTGTACGATATTACATGTGTACATGCACTTGAAACGATTTTCCATTTGTTTCGAATTTATTTAATTAAAACTTGTTTTTTTTTTAAATACCAAAAGATCTTCCTGACCATTTGTTGTTCCGCTAACAAACGTGTTCCCGGTAATCGCGTTTATTATTTTTTCGAATAACCTTTGACGGATGAGCAGTTCAGAGCAGTTTTATAGAAACGGGACACGCAATGTGACGTGCGAAGTTTTAACAAATTCGAACGTGTTAACAAAGAATCAAGCAATGGATCCGAACAACGGAAACCGATAAATTGAATGGGATTCGAAATGCATCTCACCCGACCACAAACGTAATTAATTATATACATTTCTATGTAGGTTTCAGACGACAACTAGAAATTAAAAGGCTGCAATAGAAGAATGAAACAAAGATATAAAAGAAAAGAAAAGGTCGAAAGGGAGTTCTATGTTGGAGGCATTATTACGCATGCAAGATCCCTTTAATTTGACTCTTATAACATCCCACCTTTTATCTCTTGATTGTACAGTTTCAATTACTCGTCTCCGATATCAAAGATGCTTCTTAGCCGAACGAGTTATTAATAATACTTTCTAGTCTAGTGTTTACACTTTTTACGGCTCTCCGAAGTGTAAAATACTGTCGTCTGCGACCACAATGAATTAACGCTTAAATTGCTGCAGAGTGAAAACAAAGTAAAAATTGTTAATTACCGTCTCGATGATTAGTTTCACTAAAATATTTATTGTACGTGATATACTGTCTGCAACAACTTCTGGAAGCTTCGCAGCTACAAACAAGATGTTTCGTCCGTTTTTCCCGCTGCATTTGTTTCACAATTTATCGCACACACGATTATTGAGAAACGTGCAAGAGTGACATTTTTATCTCACTAAGTACTTAAAACAAATTATTATTATAATTTATACGGTAAAACAATATATATTTGATTTGTGAATTAATTAGCTATGAAGGATTCATATAAATGATGCTACACACGCAAATCTTTTAAAATTACTCTACTACATTGAAATAATATCCTTGATTTTTACATAGTTGCTTTTTCATGGACATACACACTGGTGTCAATCGGTACAAAATATAGTGCAAATTCTACTCTTTCTTCTTATACACATTCAATTTAATCTTATACATTTTCAATTCTTATACAAAAATTATGTGCAATAAAAATATAATAGAAATATTTGAAAATTTTGATAGTTTCAACGTTTTCTTGTGTGCAATAAAATTACAAGTGTCATAATCGTATGCAAATTTTCAGTCTAGTTATACAAGATATAGGCAACTCGGATCATTCATAATCACGTATTAGGGTAGCGGAGTTGGTTACTGTGAGGCAACCGATAGCAGTGCCTTTGCCCTGTTCTCGAGCATAATTAACTTTATAATTTATCGAATAAGACGTATTCAATTTTGTTATTCTTTTATTTGTTTATTTTTTATAAACAAATTTAATTGTCGTATTTGATAAATATCAAGTTGATTACGCCGGAAAACAAATCAAAGGCGAAGCAATCGATCACTTCACAGTAACCGGCTTCGCTGGTCTATAGTTTAATTAACTCGTTTACCAGCGGTCATTTAGTCGCTCAAAACCCAAGGATTAGTAAATCAAAGTTTCTTAATAAATTATTTTCGGTAACGTTGAGTTTAATCGTTTTTAAATATTATTATTTAAAAAATGACTATCGAGTCTTTTTTTGGATATACCACGATTATCAGAAGCAGTATTAACACATTGAATGCCGCGTCGATCGCATATGGGTGACACTACATTTTTTATTGTTTTTCACACAATTCATTCTTACTGTACTATATACAAACAAAGTGCATTTTACTAGGATATTTAGAATGCAAAAGAGTTAAACTACTGGATATTATGGTACATTTTAACTATCTAGTTTCAGCTTCATTAATATAATTACTTTGATATTGTTGAGATTTTTAGGACTTGATATTGGGCACTTAACGTGTTAACAAGTATGTAAACTCTTAAAATGACGTCTTCGGAGCAAAATAAATACAAGAACTGTTAATCTGGTGACATTTGTTCGACTTATATCAGTATCAAAATGTTAATCATGCGAGCGAAGACTTGTTACTTTCATTCCCTGAAAGTAACAAACGACGAAGTGCTAAAACCTTTTCACTGCCACAGATATATGTATATATGTATAAGTTTTTATAGGTCCATGAATGTATA